TTTTTTTTTTAAATGGTACCGAGATTGAACTCAGGACCTTGAGCTTGCCAGGCAAGTGATTATTCTACTGAGCTATCTCCCTGGGCCCCTAAGTTTGATTGGTAGTACCCTTCAAAAACCAAAAAAAAAAAAAAAGTTTGACGTTAAAGCCCAGCATCTAGAGGGGAGGCAGCAGGTGAATACCTTTGTGCCATCATAAGGCTCAGCTGTGCCAGAGGGCGTGCCCATCAGGGTGATTACATCACAGTCGATGGTTTTGTCCGGTGAGGGGGCAAAGGTATCTGAGATCACCCCAAGGAAGTCCGACAACCCCTTCTTCATTTTCTCTGTTGCTCCTGAGGAGCCTTCAGTCTGTGGAGAGAATCAAGAGGGAAGCAGTGCCCCAGGAACAGGCTGAAATTTAGGAAATAGGGTGGGCTGGGAGCAAATGGGGAGTCTCAGGGGAAGGGTGTACTACATGTGGGGGCCAAGGAAATATCCACGGATCCTTTACCCCATCTCCAGGGCTGAAGGAGGAGAGAAGGCAGCCACAGCCCTTTCTCCACCAGCTAGAGATGCACAACAGGGCTGTGGTAGACCAAGAGGTCAGAGCAGAGATTGTCATGTGTTTTATCAAAATGCCAAGGCCAAAAGCTGATTAAAAAGCAGTAATCCAGGCATGGTGGTGCATGCTTGGAATCCCAGCACTCTGGAGGCTGAGGCAGGATTGCTCTGAGTTCAAGCCTTGCCAGTCTGGGCTACATAGTGAATTCAAAGCCAGCTTAAATTACACACTGAGACCCTGTCTCTACCTCACTGTCCCAAAAAAGTGGCAAGAGTAAGATGGGCATAGTGGTGCATACCAGCCTCCAGTAGGAGGCTGAGACAGTAAAGTAAGCACAGGTTCAAGGCCAGCTTGGCCTACATAGTGAGTCTTAAAAAGGCAAGAGTGAGGGACCCAGGCATTTCAGCAAAGAAAAGGCACTATGGGTAGGTAGAGTGCTGCAAAAGGTACTAGCTTTGGAGTAGACATGGAATTGAATCCCTGAGGTAATGATTGGTTGTTTATGAGACATAAAGCCTCTCTGTGTCTCAGTGTCCTGGTTTGTAAAGTGCAGACAAATATTCCTGGCACCCTGAAAATACCGAATAAGTAGCAGAACTGTAATATTAAATTCCATCATCACTGTTTATGAAGTACAATATTTTGTACAAAACGTTGGGGAAATATGGGTAGGATAAACACACAGCCTTGCTATGCTTGGGACCTGGAAAGTAGGCAAAAGTCAGCACTTGGATCTTCTGGAAAGGCAGGTGGGACACCAAACTTGAGTCATGTGGGTTAGAAGGCTCTCCAGTAAGCAGGTCACGGTCCAACTACCTTGTGGAAAACTGAAATATTTACTTTTGACTAAGCTGCCTAGGCATTTTTTTTTGGAGGAACTGGGGATTGAACTCAGACCCCTGTGCTTGCCAGGGAAGCGCTTATTCTACTGAGCCATCTCCCCAGCTGCCTATTTTTTTAATTTTTTT